CAGGGCCAGTACATCCTTCCCGAGATATGGGGCCCAAAACTGCACGCAATACTCAATGTGGCCTGACCAGGGCCTTGTATAGCTTCAGTTGTACATCCCTGCTTTTACATTCAAGCCCTCTCAAAACAAATGTCAACATGGCATTTGCCTTTCTGACTACTGACTCAACCTGCAAGTTTACCTTGAGAGAATCCTGGACTAGAACTCTTTGTACTTCAGATTTCTGAATTTTCTCCCCATTTAGAGAATAGTCCATGGTTTTATTCTTCTTACCAAAGTGCATGACCTCACACTTTCCCACGTTGTACTCCATCTGCCACTTCTTTGCCCATACTCCTAACCTGTCCTAATCCTTCTGCAGCCTCCCCACCTCCTCAATACTACCCGTCCCTCCACTGATCTTTGTATCGTCTGCAAACTAAGCCAGAATGCCCTCAGTTCCTTCATCTCGATCATTAATGTATAAAGTGAAAAGTTGTGGTCCCAACACTGACCCTTGTAGAACACCACTTGTCACCGGCTGCCATCCTGAGAAAGACCCTTTTATCCCACTCTCTGCTTTCTGCCACACAGCCAATCTTCTATCCATGGTAGCCCCTTGCCTCTAACACTGTGGGCCCTTATCTTCCTCAGCAGCCTCCTGTGTGGCACCTTATCAAAGGCCTTCTTGAAGTCCGAGTAGATAACATCAGTTGGCTCTCTTTGGTCTACCCTGCTCGTTACTTCCTCAAAGAATTCTAGCAGATTTGTCTGGCATGACCTCCCCTTGATGAAACCATGCTGACTATGCCCTATTTTACCATACACTTCCGAATATTCAGAAATTTCATCCTTCACAATGGACTCCAAAATCTTACCCACGATCGAGGTTAGGCTAATCGGCCTGTAATTTTCCGTCTTTGACCTTACTCCCTTTTTTAAACAGATGTGTCACGTTAGCGATTTTCCAGTCCTCTGGGACCCTCCCGGACTCTAGCGATCCCTGAAAGATCGCTACTAACGCTTCCACTACCTCTTCAGCTACCTCCTTTAGAACTTTGGGCTGTAGTGCATCTGGTCCATGTTATTTATCCACCTTCAGGCCAATCAGTTTTCCTTGGTAATGGACACCATACTCAGCTTTGCCCCCAACTGTTGAATTTTTGGGAGATTACTCGTGTCTTCCACCGTGAAGACAGACGCGAAGTAATTATTCAGTTCCTCAGCCATTTCCTTATTCCCCAATACTATCTCTCCACTGTCATTTTCCAGTGGTCCAATGTCACTTTTGCCTCTCGTTTGCCCTTTATATACCTAGAGAAACTCTTACAGTCTTCATTTATGTTACCGGCTAGCTCACCCTCATATTTAATCTTCTCCCTCCTTATTTCTTCTTTTGTTGCCTTCTGTTGGTCTTTGTAAGCTTCCCAGTCTTCTGGTTTCCCACTGCCCTTCGCCACATTATATGCTTTCTGTTTTGCTGTTATGCTATCCCTGACTTCCTTAGTCAGCCATGGGTGCCTCATCCTCCCTATACCATGCTTCTTTCTCCTAGGGATGAATATTTGCTGCGTCACCTTAATTAGTCCCAGAAACTCCCGCCATTGCTGTTCCACTGTCTTTCCTGCTCGGCTCCTCTTCCAGTCAATTCTGCTCAGCTCCTCCTTCATACCTCTGTAGTCGCCTTTATTCAGCTGTAACACCGTTACCTCTGATTCTGTCTTCTCCCTCTCAAATTGCAGAGTAAATTCTATCATCTTATGATCACTGCCTCCTAAGGGTTCCTTTACCTTAAGCTCCCTTATCAAGTCTGCCTCATTGCACAACACTAAATCCAGTGTTGCCTGTTCCCTTGTGGGGTCCACCACGAGCTGCTCCAAAAAGCCATCTTGTAGACATTCCACAAACTCCTTTTCTTTCAATCCACTACCAACATGATTTTCCCAGTCCACCTGCATATTGAAATCCCCCATGATCACTGTGACTTTGCCTTTCT